GAGCTTCTTGGGTCACTTGGTTTTCCAAGTTGTGCCGGGCCTGTCAGCTTCCCTGAGCGTTCGTGTTTAATTTAAGCATAGCTGGAGCGACACGGGTTTCTTAAAGCTACAGGACGTTCTTGGTGGGAACAGGGTGAATGGAAGATAACCCTCCAGGAGGGCAAGGGACCTGGCGTGAGCAAATTCCCACGGGCCATGTTTTGGTAGCTGGCTTTGATTAGAGCGCCCCCACCCAGTGCAGGTGGGTCTGAGGATGACATGATGGGCTCTAACCTGCATGTCTGATAGCACTTTCTCCTCGCTGGGCCTGCAGGCTCCATTTCTTCCCCCAGGAATACCATCGAGACCTAACATATTTCCCAAGATATGTTTTATGTGTTTGTTTGCGGGGTTTTTAATGAGGAAAAGTGATCCCCAAGAGGATAGCAATCCCAGCTGGTCAGAGCTGGCTCGCACAGCACCGGAGGCAGCCAGGACGCAGACAGGCAGCTGTGGTCCCCTGGCGCACAGGGCTGTGTGACTCCCGTCCTGCAGACGAAGGGCGTCCGGCCATGGGTCTCAGGAATCGTGCATCCGATAAAGCGGCCTGTGCCGCTCTTCCCCAGGGATGGGTCAGAGCGGATCGGGCAGGTCGTCTCCCTTGTAGCCGCTAGTGTGCCCCTGCCACCTCTTCCCTTCATTTCTGAGTGTGACCCATTGTACCTTCAAGTTGAAGAAATGCCGGTGAAAGTGAACATTTTATCAAGGGGAATCTTACAGTGTGGCCTTTTGTGCTGGCTTCTTCTGCTTAGAGTGATGTGCTTATGGCTCACCCGTGTTGTAGCTTGCTGTGCGAACCAGCTCTGACCAGCTAGGATTGCTATCCTCTTGGGGATCACTTTTCCTCAGTCCGTAAGAAAACAGGCCTTCGTGCCCAAGGCGCTTTCTCTCCCTTCTGCTTCCCCAGTGGCTGTGCAGCAGCCCACCACCTGGCACACGCCCGCGGTGGACGACTTCGCCAGCTTCCAGCGCAAGTGGTTTGAGGTGGCCTTCGTGGCCGAAGAGCTCTTGCACTCAGAGATCCCGGCCTTCCTCCTGCCCTGGCTGCCGAGCCGGCCGGCCTCCTACGCGAGCAGGCACAGCTCCTTCAGCCGCAGCTTCGGAGGACGGAGCCAGGCCGCTGCGCTTTTAGGTAGGTGCCCGACCCACATAGGGCCTGGCGGTGCGCTGGCGGGTGGCTGAGGCAGAGTGGCCACCACCCAAGGGGACGAGGCCTGGGAACCGGGATCGAAGCTGCCGTGGCGGTCACACTGGCCATTGGGTCTGTGGGCACTGCAGGCTCCTGCGCTGGCTTCTGTGAGTGGGTCGAGCTCATTATTGTCCCGACCAACAAACAGTGTTCATCAGCGTCCCGCTCTCCCCAAGGTCACGTTCAGAGACAGAGGCACAATGAGCCACTTTAAATAAGTATTGGGTGGTGTACGGTGATACTTTCTTTTCCTGAGAGCTGAGGGAAGCAAGAGAGAGTCCCAAAGAACCCGACCCAGTGCCAGAAGTCCAAACGTCACTCTCACAGGGCGCGCCCCTCAGACCAGCACAGAGAGCTCTTTGCTCTTATGAGCTTGGCTACAGTCGCTCAGGATCGCCCCAGGTTAGAGGCAGAAAATCAGGGGCACTGACGGCAGCAAGTGTACCAACACGTTGTAGGAATGTGTTTTGCAAAACATCTGTTAGATTTGGGCTCCTTTTAGGTGGGGGCGGGACTAGCAGTTATTTGAAGAACGTCTTTTCCTTTAAAGTGCTCGATAAAAGGGCTTCTTCTGATGTGAGTCCCTCGTGCGGAATGTGCAAAACCAGAGAGTAGGGGCCTCGACCTCAGCACTGTGGATATTGGGGTCCAGATCATTCTGTGTGTGGGGGAGGGGGGGCGCTGTCCTGTGCCTCGTAGTGTGCTTAGCCTCTCAGACCTCTACCCACTGGATGCCAGTGGCACCGCCCACTGGCAAAACGTCTCCAGACATTGCCCGGCATCCCCAGGGGAGTGCCAAATTGCCCCCAGTTGGGAACGGCTGCTTGGGAGGGAATTGAAGATTGCAGGAAGGAGCCAAGATCGGGGAGCTCAGCAAACCGGGGAGGCCCACCTCCCTCTGCAGGTGTCAGGCCGGGCGAGGGTGTTTTCAGAGCTGGTGGGAGGAGTGAGCCGCCGCCCAAAGCAAGTGCTGTCCTCTGCCCTCGCGTCCCTGGGCTGCTCTAGTGCTTTCCGTGGGTGATGCGGCTGCTCTAGCCCTGCCCTGCCCCAGGCGGTGCCGTGCGATGACAGCCGTCATGCCCTGGTTTCTAGATCACTCATGAGTCGGCACTGCAGCAGGCAGACAGTTACCTCATTTACTCCTCCTCCCGTGCCGGAGCGATGCTGTGATTTATGTTGCAGAGTTCGTGACACTGAGGCTCAGGGAGGGGAAGGAATTTGCCCCAGGCTCTGCTTCTATGCAGTGTTAGGACTGGCGTGTTTTCTCCACCGTCTGAGCCCGGCCATACTGCACCACGGCCCCAGGAAGACAAGAGTCAGAGCTGGTCAGGGCTGGAGGGATTTGTGTGCCAGTTTCAATGAAACTTTTAGCATCGGAGCCACCGAATTCTTTCGCCTTAAGTATCGTAGCCAGCTGAGCAGTGTCCGTGGGACCCTGGCCAGGCCTCGGGGCGACCATGGGTGAGCGGGAGGCTTACACTGGGAGGAAGGGTTACCAGGAACAGGAGGAGAGGGGATGATTATAAGCGAGGTGGCCAGAGGAGAAGGCATGCAGGGAGGCTGTGACTCATCCACATTTCATTGATCAGAGCTCTCCTCTGTGGCTGCGTAGGATTTCTGAGCAGGAGACCCAGGGAGGATGAGCTAGTTTGATACTGACCTGGAATTTTTGAGTAACGCACGGTTGATGAAACAGGGCATTAGGCCTCATGATGAGGTTTCTTGAGGCAAGATTATAGAACTGTTGCCTTCCAGGGTCGAGACCAGAAAAGGGAGACTTGCCCTGGACTGTGATGTGGTTTGGATGGCTGGTCCAGTTGTGTCCCTTCGTGGGTCACTGGGATCAGAAGGCCAGGGGTTCAGCTGGCGGAGGTTCTGACTCTGATCTTGACCGAGACATTTTCCCTCCTTGGCTGCTGTTTCCTCAACTATAAATGCAGGGGCGGGATTAGATTGGGGGAGGTAAACTGTGGCTTACCTGCTCAAATCTGTGTATTTGTTTGTTTTATAATACATTTTCTTTTTTTTAAATATATCTTTATTGATTTCAGAGAGGAAGGGAGAGGGAGAGAGAGTTAGAAACATCAAATGATGAAAGAATCATTGATCAGCTGCCTCCTGCACACCCCCTACTGGGGATCGAGCCCACAACCTGGGCATGTGCCCTTGACTGGAATTGAACCGGGACCCTTCAGTCCACAGGCCGATGCACTATCCACTGAGCCAAATCAACCAGGGCATAAATTTTATTTTTAGAGTACTTTTAGGCTCGAAGCAAAATTGAGCACAAAGTAGACTTCCTATATGCTCCCTGTCCCAACACACACACAGCCTCCTCCACTATCAACATCTCCCACCAGAGTGGGATGGTTGTTATAATCGATGAACCTATATTGACATTATCATCACCCAAAGTCTATGGTTTGCATTAGGGTTCACTCTTGATGGTGTACATTTTATGGGTCTTGACAAATGTATGACGACATGTATTCACCATTGTAGTATCATACAGAGCAGTTTCACTGCCCTAAAAATCCATCTGTTTTTGTAAATAAAATCTACATTTACGTAATGCCTATGGCTGCTTTTGCACTATAATGGCAGACCTGAGCCATTGAAACAGTCTCTATATGAGACCGCATAGCCTGCAAAACCTAAAGTATTTATCTGGACCTTTACAGAAGTTTGCAACCCCTGGACTAGATGATTTCCAGGAAGCTTCTAGAATCTTCCCAGAAGCTTCTAGAATCTGCGATTTTTCTCTTAGATGATTCTGCAGTTTCCTATCTGGGTGTTTATTCTTCCTCCTCATCCCCTCCTCCTTCTCCCTCTCTCTTGGGGCCCCTCCTCTGCGCGGACATAGCTGCCACCGTCCCGGAGCAGAGGACTGTGACGCTGGACGTGGACGTGAACAACCGAACAGACCGGCTGGAGTGGTGCAGCTGCTATTACCATGGCAACTTCTCCCTGAACGCGGCCTTCGAGATCAAGCTGCACTGGATGGCAGTGACCGCTGCGGTCCTCTTCGAGATGGTGAGCGCCTCCTCTCATTGTGGATGGGGCCCTGGCTCGCTGTGCAGAGGGCTCAGTGGGTGCTTAGTAGCAAATCGTGTCACTTCAAGAAATACATCTTTTTATTGATTTCAGAGAGGAAGGGAGAGGGAGAGATAGAAACGTCAGTGATGAGAGAGAATCATGGATCGGTTGCCTCCTGCACGCCCCCTACTGGGGATCGAGCCCACCACCCAGGCATGTGCCCTGACCGGGAAGCAAACCGGCAACCTCTTGGTTCCTGGGTTGATACCCAACCACTGAGTCACACAGGCCAGGTGAGAAGGGTTTTTAGAGGCAAGAAATAGCTCTCTCCAGTCTCCTCCTCCCAAAAGAAACACCGGCATTGCAGACACATGGGCTGCCGGGAGGAACTGTGCGTAGCTCACAATTGCGAGTATTCGTCAGGAGGTGAGACTGCGCTTTCCTGCCCGGGACTGGTTGGGAGCCGGCAATCACCAACGTGCCAGTCAACGTGCGTGACGCCACCTGGCAGCTTCGTCCCCCGAGCAGTGTTTCCTCTCGTCTGCACCAGGTTGGGGGTGACACTGTTTGTGTCTGTGTTTTCCACCAGGTCCAAGGGTGGCATCGCAAAGCCACCTCCTGCGGCTTTTTGCTGGTCCCGGTTCTGGAGGGTCCCTTTGCGCTGCCCAGTTACCTGTACGGCGACCCGCTTCGAGCCCAGCTCTTCATCCCGCTCAACGTCAGCTGTCTGCTCAAGGAGGGCAGCGAGCACCTGTTCGATAGTAAGAGATGCTCCCCTCGGGGCTTCCGTCTCCATGAGTAAGACCAGACCCCTCTTCCCCCGAAGGACACCTCTGGGGAGCTAACCCACGTAGGCTCCTGCATAGAGAGCCTTCGGACAGGGGCCAAAGGATCTGGGTTTTAATCCTCCTCCTTCACTTAGTGACTGGGTAACCCTGGACAAGTCACTTAATGTCTCTAAGCCTCAAAATCCTTTTTATTTATTTTTTATTTTTGTATATATTTTTATTGATTTCAGAGAGGAAGGGAGAGGGAGAAAGAGATAGAAACATCGATGATGAGAGAGAATCATGGATCGGCAGCCTCCTGCACGCCCCACACTAGGGATCGAGCCCACAACCTGGGCATGTGCCCTGACCGGGAATCTAATCGTGACCTCCTGGTTCATAGGTCGATGCTCAACCACTGAGCCACACCAGCGGGGCTATAAAGCACTCTTTACACACACACACACACACACACACACACACACACTTGGGTGACCTCACAGTGTGGCTGAGGCAGGACCATTTTTGCAGTTCGGAAATGCCTAATGTGTGTGTATCTGACTATTTTAAGCCAGGCACCGCCTCATGGTGCTGTTTTTCATGTGTTGAGGGGACAGAGAGATGGTCCCGCACCGTCCGAGCCTCCTCTGGGGTTTTCCACCTTCACGGTGATAGCACAGGATAGCGCGAGGGGCTGGCATCGGGGGACATTTTTTGTGTGAGCTGATGGTTTTCTCTGCCACTCATAACCCCGTCATCAAGACCAGCCGCCTCTATGGGTTGCCATAGTTACAGCTGAACGAAAGGAGTCCTAGCTTCAAGGAATAAGGGCTTGAGTCTAAAATTCGATTTTCTTGCTTCTGTGCTGCTTCTCTTCCAGTTATCGCTCCTTCTGATAACAGTGAATTCAAACCCTTAAAAACCCGACAAGAATCTGCTGTGTGTGTGTTTTCCTATTAAAGCCAAAGCCTTTTTCTCCCTTGCTCTCCCGTTGCCCAGAATCCTCAGGTCTGTCCTAGATAGAAGAGTCCAAGTGGGGAAGGAGTGACGAGGCCACTGCAGGCACCCGGGCCTTGGGGATGTCTCCTGCAGTGGCTGCTCCAGTCCGTGGCACCTCCGTCCTGAGAGCGGCCCTGGCCCCTGGCCTGCTGCTGTGGGACAGGCTTTCAGCCCCCCTCCTGCCCCTCTTGGTCCTCAAGGCAGCCCCGCAGGAGGAGCAGGAGGAGCGGGGCTGGAACAACAAAGTGGGCGATGGGGGAGGGTATGTCCCCTCCCCTCCCCAGACGATCACTTTTCCAAAATTATTTTTATATCAATTTGCTTCCATTTCCCCACCCAGCTTATAATATTGCCTTTCCTCATAGGGAAATGGAAGATGGTCCTTGGAGGCAGATAACATGCATTTCTTTTTTATTTTTTTGTTAATCCTCACCCAAGGATATTTTTCCATTGATTTTTAGAGAGAGTGGAAGAGAGAGGGACAGACAGAGGAAACATCGATGTAAGAGAAATACATTGATTGGTTGTCTCCTGCACCAGCCCCAACCAGGGCCCTTGACCGGGATCAAACCCGGGACCCTTTGGTCTGCAGGCTCTATCCATTGAGCAACACTGGCCAGAGCCCTTAAAGCTCCTCTCCTTTTTGCACTGGGACATCATGCTCCTTTCCGCTGCTGACACAGGAGGTCATTGGAATGAGTCCTGGCAGCTCACACTGGCTCCTAAAGGCTCACGTTCGTCCCATCTTTAGATCCTGATGGAACGCAGGGGAGGGGAGGGTGAGAATATGTGGCTGTCACTTTCTTTGGCACATCCCCCCTTGGGGTAGAGGCTGGTCTTTCCGGAGGCAGGGCGGGTGGAAAAGCTGAGCCTGTGACCAAGGGGGAGGCATTGCCCAGAGCAGAGAAGGGCTCAGAAGGCCAGACCCCGGGCCAGTCGCGTACCTTAGGGTCACAGCCGAGCATTTACTCCTTTTCCCTTTCAGGCTTTGAACCGGAAACGTACTGGGACCGCATGCACCTCTTCCAGGAAGCCATCGCGCACAGGTTCGTCCCTTCCCAAGAGAGAACGGCAGGGAGGCCCTCGCGTTCGTCTGGAATAGCAGTTCCCAGAGCGAAGCCCCGTTTGTTTCATTTCTGGGGAAGCAGGGCTAGCCCCCCAATGTCACGTGCACTGCTTATCTCTGCTCGGACCCCGGCCTTGGTTTCAAAGCTCAGCGCACCCTCTCCAGTTCCCGTGGCTGTTGTTTTCAGACCTGATTTCCGTCACCTTCCAGTTGAGGGGAGAACAGAGCCCCCTCCTTAGCCTCCAACCAGACCTGAGACAGGCTATCTGGGAGATGACAGGAGATGAAAATTGGAATTTGTCAAGAGTCCCTTGACACATGCCGAAAAGACAGTCAGTGCTTAAGCAGCCATAGAGGAGTCAGTAGGCATTTCCTGGCACTTCAGCTGTGTTCCAGGGAAAGCCTTCCCCAGGCTCGGCTGTCCATCCCGGGGATAGTCAGTGAGGGGGCCAAGGACCATGTGGTTAAATTGCCTTTTTTTAAAAATATGTATTTTTTTTATTGATTTCAGAAAGGGAGGGAGAGGGAGAGAGACATAGAAACGTCAGTGATGAGAGAGAATCATGGATCGGCTGCCTCCTGCACATCCCACTCTGGGGATCGAGCACGAAACCCGGCATGTGCCCTGACCGGGAATGGAACTGTGACCTCCAGGCTCATAGGTTGATGCTCAACCACTGAGCCACACATTTTTTTTTTCCAAATAGCAATAATCGCGCCTCGGGTAAACCTCATTGGTTACGATACTGCCAGTGCGCAAAGCTTAAGTTGCCTTTTTAAAATGGAAGCTCCTTCCTGGTGACTTAAGGAAGAGATGAGGCAAGAATCTGGCTCAGGCTGATCTAGCCGAGGAAATGAAGGACTTGATTAGAAGTAGAGAGGAAGAGAGGAAAACCCAGGCCACGCCTGCACCTGATGGAATCAGCCTGCGGGCGATGGGCTTGCGAGGCGTGTTAGCCGGTCCATGTGTTTGCAGATCTGACTAATGTAGAGGCTACCACACAGCACCTCCCTGAGGAACTTGGTCCAGGAGAGGAGAGGGGCCTTTTACCTCCTGGAGTTCTGCCCGTGTCCCCGCCTGCGTTACATAAAGCGTCGGGCTCAGGGCAGGAGCCACATCTATTAATATGTCCTTTGCAGCACTTAGCAGGTAGAGCTGTGACAAATGGGCTTCACGAAATAGAAAAACCAGGAATAGAACAAGCCGGAGACAGAAGCCGGAAGGAACAGCCGTGCATGAAAAACGGCCTCTCCTGCCCATTCCAGACCGCAGGGAAGCAGAGCCCAGACTGGTGGTCCTCGCTTCTAAGAACAGAATTTCAATTAAGATACTTCATTTCCCTTCCGGGCCTTTAATGAGCACCTACTATGTGCTTAGTGTGGGAGACGAGGAAGGGAGAGAGGTGTGGCTACGGTATATAAAGATCAGGACCGTTTTCTGGAGGGCCTGACAGTCCTGAGGATGTGGTGGGCACCGTGGGAAGGTCTGATGGGGCAGCTGGGGGTGCCAGGAGCAGGGGATGAGGAAGAGGGCGGTGGGGAGGGGGCTTTCAGCCACCCGGAGGTGAACGGAGGCTGGGCGGGAGGAGGTCCGGTGAGCCATGGGAGAGGTAGAGATTGAGATGCAGCCGGGACAGACGGAAGCAGCCTGCATGTTCCATCTTGAAGGAGACCTTTCCAGACCCTGTTAGCCCAGCCTGTCGGAGTCCTGTTAGCCCCTGGTCCCGTGAGAGGCCCTCCTCAGTGCGTCTTCCTGTCTTTCCCTTAGGTTTGGGTTTGTGCAAGATAAATATTCTGCGTCTGCTTTTAACTTCCCAGCTGAGAACAAGCCTCAGTACATCCATGTCACAGGTGAGGCGCTCTGGAGAGAAGGGGGAGGGGGTGGGCCCCATGCACAGGGTCTGCACCCCGCCTGTGGTTGCAGAACCGCCCAGCCAACCCCGACCCCACCCGGGGCACTACCTGTGGCTGCAACCCAGTCCCCTCCCCTACTTCCAGGCACCGTGTTCCTGCAGCTGCCCTACTCCAAGCGCAAGTTCTCGGGGCAGCAGCGCCGGCGGCGCAACTCCACCAGCTCCGCCAACCAGAACATGTTCTGTGAGGAGCGGATCGGCTACAACTGGGCCTACAACACCATGCTGACCAAGACCTGGCGCTCCAGTGCCACGGGTGACGAGAAGTTCGCCGACCGGCTGCTGAGGGACTTCACCGACTTCTGCGTCAACCGCGACAACAGGCTGGTCACGTTCTGGGCGAGCTGCCTGGAGAAGATGCATGCCAGCGCCCCCTGAGACGGGCGGCGTGGGTCAGAGGATGGGAGGATGCCCGTCTGCTACTGATATGCAACGGGATCAGCCAGGCTCTGGGCGTCGATGGCAGTTTGCCACCGTCAGTGGGCGGGGGCCGCCGCCGCTTCCCCACCGTGTTCTTCCGCTCGAGGAGAAGGATTCTGGAAGCAGCTAGCGCCCGCCCAGAGCAGGTGGGAGGCCCAGATGGCCCGTGGGAAGGGGACAGGCAGCCCCCAGGAGTGTCCTCAGAGGGGGTGGCTCCTCCGAGAGTCCCCTCCTGCACCCCCTGGGGGCTCTTCAGAGCAGGATCCACACTTCCCACTAGGAGTGCGCACAGGATGTAAGATAATGTTGTGAAATAGTGTACATAGGCTCACACCGACTGTACATACCTGTACATAGCAGCAGTGGAGTAAAGTGCCCCGCGCGCCATCCCTGGCCCCAGCCTGGTTTCTGTGCCGTCTTAAAGCACCCCCCACCTTTCCAGGCCCCTGGTACATGCTGGGGAGCACCAGGGGCTGGCCAGGGTTCTCACTGGGGGCGACTTGGACCCCCGTTTGAGAAACATTTGGCAATATCTGGAGACACTCGGGTGTCCTAACAGTCCGCAGTGCTACTGGCATCTGATGGGTGCTTCCCAACACCCTGCATTGCCCAGGGTGGCTCCTACAGCAAAGAATTGCCCAGCCCCGGCCCCCAGCCAGGCACCATGGCTCAGTGGCTGAGCGTTGACCTATGAACCAGGAGGCCACGGTTCAATTCCCAGTCAGGGCACATGCCTGGGTTGTGGGCTCGATCCCCAGTGTGGGGCGTGCAGGAGGCAGCCATCAATGATACTCTCTCATCATTGACGTTTCTATCTCTCTCTCCCTCTCCCTTCCTCTCTCTGAAATCAATAAAAATATATTTTTTAAAAAAAGGAGTGGGAGAAAGAAGCCCATTGTGAGTGGTTTCCCGCACTGGGAAGGAGGGAGGGCAGGCTGGGGCCTGGCTCCCTGCACAGCGATGAGGGCCAAGGCCACAGACCCTCTAGTCCCCAGTCACCGCACTGGCCTCCGAGGGCGGTTGGCACAGGAGGACAGGAGCGCTCCAGGCTGGTCTGACACACAGGAAGCGTCTCACCTCAAAGCAGAAGTGAAACGGGGCACACTTCCCCTCGCAGGAGGCGCGTCGGACCGGCCCCTCGCCACCGTCTCCTGCAGGAACGGCTGGGGTCTGAGGTTGGGGGTTGACAGAAGGCGGGCTGGTCTGGGGACCCACCCATGTCTGCCTCCCACCACACATCCTGGGCAGCATCTGGTCACACACGCCTCCTTGGCTGGCATCCCTGTGGTTGGAAGATACCATTTCTGTCGGGTTTTGTGATGCAGACTCTCAGGGAAATGGCCCTTTTACATCTCCTGCTCCCAGTGGAATCGCGGCCAGCCCGTCACTACAAGATAGAGGTTCACGTACGGTTTATGCTCTCATTCATTGTTCTCCCATCAACAATATATTCAGAGCAATCTATGTACAGGTCCATGAGGAAGAAGGGCTGTGAACACAAATGTGCACAGGTCACTGTTGTTATGGTGGTGAAATCATGCAGTCGTGGGCTGAGATTTGAAGGCTGTGTAAGAGTTCTGGCCTTCAAGGAGGAGTGGGAGGGGAAGGGGATTCTGGAGGGCTAACGGGCTTTGGCAGTAAAACCAAACGAGAAGGCAGCCCGGCCACGGGGGCTCAGTGGTTGAGCGTCCACCTATGAACCAGGAGGTCACGGCTCAATTCCCGGTCAGGGCACAAGCCCAGCTTGTGGGCTCGATCATTGGTGGGGAGTGTGCAGGAGGCAGCCGATCAATTATTCTCATCATTGATGTTTCAGTCTCTCTCCCTTTCCCTTCCTCTCTAAAAATCAATAAAAATATTTTTTTAAATAAAAATAATAAAAAATAATCCCTAGCCAGTTTGGCTCAGTGGATAGAGTGTCAGCCTGCGGACCAAAGGGTCCCAGGTTCGATTCCGGTCAAGGGCTCGTACCTCGGTTGCAGGGTCGGCCCTGGTCGGGGCGCGTGCAGGAGGCAACCAGTTGATGTGTTTCTCTCACATCAATATTTCTCTCCTGTCTCTTCCACTCTAAAATTCAATGTAAAAATATCCTCGGGTGAGGATTATAGAAGGAAATTACTAGTCATCCTAATAAGAAGGTACAGTTTGTTAAGTCAGACAAATACTGGTACAGTGTGAGCTTCCTTACAGTGCGGCAGAGAGCGAGCGACTCGCAGAGAAAGAACAGCGTGCAGCAGTTGATGAGCAAAGACCAACAAGAGTGGCCAGACTTGGTGCTGGGCCACTTCTGAGGATGGCAGCTCAGGGACTGAGAAGTACAGATGGGTAGTGACGGCGTCCCGGGGATGTGCAGTCCCGCATAGGGAACATAGTGATGCTGCCATCACCATGGGTGGTGCCGGGCGGGTCCTGGGAATATCGGGGGACACTTTGGGAAGGGTATCGTCTGACCACCGGGCTGTACGCCTGAAACCCATACAAAATAATATTGAATGTAAGCTGTGCTAAACCATTTGTTTTTAAAGATGGAACTATCTTTTATTTTTTAAAATATATTGTTATTGATTTCAGAGAGGAAGGGAGAGAGAGAGAGAAACATCGATGATGAGAGAGAATCATGGATCGGCTGCCTCCTGCACGCCTCCCATTGGGGAGCAAGCCTGCCCTGACCAGGAATCGAACCCTCAACCACTGAGCATCTTTGAGGTCGATGCTCAACCACTGAGCCACACCGGCCAGGCATAAAACATTTTTTTGGTTTTTATCATTAAAGGTTCTAAGCCAGCACCAGGTGACCCGGTCAGGTGTGGATTTTTAAAAGCGTGTCTGGCTGTGGTGATCCAAAATGGAAGCGGGGGGTGGGATGAGCGAGTGTCAAAGCAGGAAGCCGCTGAGAGCCAGTGTGGTTGTCCAGGAAA